TAAATGTAGGAGAGGAATGATGAAGATTAGATGTAAGTCATTAGTAGTGCAGATGGAGGGGAGAGAATGGTTAGATTTGAGGGATAAAGACAGAGAGTTTCATACAGGGACCAACCAAGGAAAAAAACATTCTAGGCACTGTCTGGTGGGGTGTGGAGGTGTGTGTGTGTGTGTGTGTGTGTGTGTGAGAGAGAGAGAGAGAGAGAGAGAGAGAGAGAGAGATACCCTGACTTTTCCTTTCCTCTCCTCTCACCTATCTTATATGAGGACTTCACATTGGCCAACTAAGTCAGAAGCCAGCTGACAGCAGCACACCCTGGAAAACAGCTCCTGAGAAAAGCGAAAAATGGACACCAGATAAGCATGAGTAACTGGTTGTATTGTGGCATACTGGCTAATTTAGAGGAATTTAGGGAAAATGGGCCTTGGGAAATGTAGGATAAACCTGGGTTTGAATATACGAAGGCTGAGTAGCCTAGGATTCCATAGGTAGGAATATAAAGTAAACAACTGGAGATTGGAGTCTCACATTCAAGATGGAGTCCAGGGATACAGTTGGGGGATATTATAACAGTGATGGATGAGGCCCAAAATGTGAATTAGACCATCATGGAGGAGTTTAGGAAGAATTTTTTAAAATATAAAAAGTGAAGATCAGGGTCACAAACAAATAAGGGAAAGGAGGGATGATCAGGAATAATTCCATAAAGAGACTGTGGAATGATGGTACAAAAGATCAGAGCAGACTAGGAGAGACAGCGTGAAGAAGCCACGGAGGAGGAATGAATAGCAGTGCCCACCCTGGATTTGGCAAACAAGTGGACTGTGGGTGACCTTGATTAATAAGCATTCTACTAGGTATGGGGGGCTAGGGAGGCTGGGGCAGGTGGTGCAAATAGTGGGTGGAGAATTAAATGGAAAATGACTGTGGGCTTTTCTCTGAAGTTATTTAGTGGGAGGAGAAAGCAAACATAAAACCCCAAAACTCATAAAACAGCATAAAACCTGACATTTCTTTTTACTTCAGCATGCTTTGGAACAAAACATACAGTAACCTGTTTTATTCCTCATTTAAGAAGCATAAATCATGAGTTAATTTTGTAATTCTTTTCTGAAGAATTCTTTTTTGTGATATAATCAGAATTGTCCTTTTTCCCCCCAGAACTGATTACTATCAGAGGTTCAGTCAAATCAATGAACATTATCATTTCTACTGGTGTCTTTGAAAAGAACACATAGTCAGATTCAAATTCTAATAGGGTCAAAGGAATTGGGAACGGATAGAAATTAAAAGCATGCTGCACAGGCCTCGAAACTCTTGGGCTCTCATTCAAACAACCTGTTGAGGAAAAGTTCACTTTTCCCCTTTCACAGAATGAGGGAACACAGAGAATCAAGACACAGTGCACTGCGATTCAATCTCTTTGGGAAACTTTTTGAGAAGTATGACCACATACATACTTCAGATTGTTTACAATTAGAATACTCATTGAAAAATATAATGGAAGATTAAGTAACATGTCCAAGTGGCTAACATGTCCATTGAGAATTGGACAAAGTAATGGCTTCTTATTTTTTTGTCCTCCACTGACCCAATTCATGTAGCATTTTGAATTACTTTATCTGGTACTTGACTGAATCTCCTGTCCTTTTGAAGAAGAAGGTGTTAGTATTCCTGAGAAAATCTTGTTCGTGTTGAGTCAAATAATGAACCTAAATTCCAAATGTATCGGATGAACAACTCTTGTCTGCTAAGCCTGGCTTGGCAGGCAGCTTCCCCAAAGATCTGCTCAGGCAGAAGAATCAGAGCTCTTTAAGCTTTATGATCCAGACACCTGACCTGACCAAGTGTTTCACTGCTGAGTGGAAACCAAAAAGGTAGCAATTGCCACATACTTGATGAACATCAAGAATAATTTCCTCTTCAAGCCCCTAACTCTCTTTTCCACGCATCACCTCTCTCTCCACACACATATCTCTCCACTTAGCCTCTGACAAGTCACAGACAAACGACTGCCAGGGAATTTGGCAGTGATAAATTCATTTCATTTCACACTACACACAATTTTTTTGGATGGGAACTTAAAATGACCAACTTTGTGATCATTATATTTAAAATATAAAGGAATTTAAGGCATAAGGCAATATAGAAGAAATTCTGAAAGTGAGATTTAAGAAAGTGAATTTGCCCCACCACAAACTGTTTGAGGACCTACCTCCTCTGTTACGCTTTAGGCAACCATCGGGACTCCTCTCATTATTGCAGCTACTGCTGGGACAGATCTTTCTTTCTTTTTTTTTTTGAGTTGGAGTCTCACTCAGTCGCCCAGACTGGAGTGCAGTGGCCGCTCCCGGCCACCGCAGCCTCG